GCAAACCACCCCACACTGGAGAACAATATTCAAGGATAGGCCTGATTTTAGACAAATAAGTGGTGAGACCCACTTCGACTGGTAGGTTCGCTCTTCTACATTTTCTTAGGCAGTACAGGTTTTTAGCTGCTTTGCGAGTGGTCTCCTCGCAAAGCAGCCAATGTAGGCTGCACGCTTTTTAAAACCGTTAGTTTGAATTGCAACGTTAATTCTATGACTGGATCTAAGAGTCATATTAACAGTTTCATTACGTGGTGGAAGAAGATTATGAAGTTTGTGGCTATCATCAGTCACTATTTCTTCAAATAGTTTGTCTGAAAGCTAAGACCGTCTCGTCGATGGCTGAGTCGTTGAGACCAGTTGATTGTAAAGCGTCTTCATATGAGACCCAAGGTAAGATTATTCGCCAAGCTTTCTTTTGGATCAGCTCCAAATCCTGACTGAAGTAATTTGCCAAACCATTATGGAATACAGGACATGGTATTCTAGGATTGGTCTTATGCACGTTGTAATGAATAGGACGAGTTCTTTCTTGCCAACTCTCGCTCTCTTAAGTTGGGAGAGAAAATAAAGACGCTTTCCCGCCTTCGGTCAATGTGATTGTTCCGTTTCAAATTGTTAGAAACGCTCAGACCAAGGATTTTAGTACTGTCGACCACTTCCAAGATCTCTCCATTTACAATAATAGGGTCAAAATTGCTCTAGCTTGGTTTTGCAGATTTCGATTTGCAACTCCTTGCATTTAGTTTCGTTAAGTTCGTTTTTTCAAGGGCTTGAATTTTACTTTCTTAATTCTTCCTAACAATTCTATATAAAATTATAGTTGTATTGTCCACAAATTTCCATATATTACTATCGTTAATCACGTTTCGCCCGCTTTATGATAAACAGCGACGGCCCAGACTTAATGCCATGCATGAGGAACACCAGCTGAAATGTCGGCCCAATCTGTATAAGAATTTTGATTTATATAATAGTTTTGTTTGTGGAAACACCACGTAAATTTTAATAAATCGGATAATAAATAAACAAATGTTAACAATAAATTTTATCTTCATTCAGGCTCCTTAGCCCTATTTACCCATAAATATATTTCATTTTCTCCCAATCCATTAAACTGGTGACTAAAAAGACTACTGTACAGGGTGTATAAAAAAAAGCGCAATCCTTGACTGAAATGTAAATTGCTAAACAAATAATAGACGAAAACGTTAAAGTTTACATTCATTTTAAAGCGTAGCCATTCAGCTTTCTAACAGTGGGTTGTTTCTTAAATTTGACTCATTGGTTCGCGGGTAATAATACTTTACGTTATTGCGATTGGAGATTAAAAAAATTGAGATGGAATAACAAATCGTTCTCATGAAAATAACTGATTTTTCATTAAAACATTAAAAATGTTGTATTTTATTAAATGGATTGTAACAATAAGTATAATTACGGCTTTTCTTCCACTATTTTTAACTCAATTTGAAACTTCAAATGCGATATAATTTTGGCTTGGACCATCTAAGCTGACTGACATCAACTTGCTTTAATTTCTGTTTACATTACATCGTAATTCGATGACACTCTGGCTCAGACACAAGAATGTTTTGACGATTTTTAGCATTCGTTTAGGATTTTCAAACAACCTGGTCTCTTTTAAAATACTTTTAATTTGTTCTTACGTGGTTTTCCAGATGTAGTGACGACAACATTAAAGTTTAAAGAAGAAAATTCTAACATTTAAACCGACTAAACAATAACATAGTAAACTTGTATAATTAAGCAGCAACTAAAAATGATAGGTTTTACTAAATCTTTTCCTGTGCAATTATTACTAGCATTGGAGACAAGGATAATAGTTCGTTTGAAAGAGAAAAGAACACGCTTTGAAGTAAGCCTAAAAGCGTTTAACTAGAAATAGTATTTCGAAAGTTATTTGGCACAAAAGATGAATTGCGTTTATTTTGATACACCCTGAGATTATCTTTGAAGATATGATTCAACATTTCAAACAAAGGCCTTTGGTTAACCCTGCAAAGTCTGAAAGATTTTCATTACGAACTGTTCATGCTTACACAAAATATTACGTATATAACTAAATACAACCGGTAATAGACATTCCACTTTTTTAAAAGCAATAATTTATAGAAATACAGTATAAAGGTAATGCATCCTTACCATTAAAAAATTAATATCAATTTAAACACAGAGAACAAAAACATTCATCTCCCCATCAATATTATTCATTACCTTGTTTTTGAACTTCTAATTCCTTTTCGAACCCCTCCCCCAGTTTTGTTTCTCCACCCCCCATCTTCAAATATTGAACAGCCCAATTTAGGTACATGCATGGATAGATACACAAAAGGCTAGCAAACATTGATCATGACAATAAAAACATGAAACAGGAATAACTTTAGAATACGCGGCCAACTGTGCTTAACCCTAAACGTAATCCTAACAATACAAATACTAACAATAGAAGTACTTAACGTTGCGGGGTATTCTATAATTGTACCGCCGTTTTTTATTTGAGCAAACACTCGGATATCTTCTTACCTTGTTATTTAAACATCACCACTTGCAATGCATGAAATTCAACATAAATATTGATCAATTCCACTTTATAATTCAACATATAAAACGTGTGCTTTTTCAAATTTCAAATTCGAAAATCGAAATTGCGTGTGACCGCAGACCACTTTACTGCAGGCGTACTTTGCCCGAACTCTGAACGAAGCTTCCTTCGGGAACGACGTGAACCGAGCACTGGGTCATACGCCCGAGATAGTTCAGTGGCCCGAGGCGCAGACGATAAGAATTTCAAAAGGTCGAGAACATTTTCAAAAAGGGACGTACCGTGTCACTATAAAATTTAGGGAAATGTTGTATTATGAGCAATTATGTTTCTTCTAAAACCTGAAAAATCGCGTCGCGTTACCAAATATTCGCGTCCGATCTGTGTGGGCCATAAGGCTCATTTCATAGGTCGGATTTTGGTCGCGTCGTATGCAATTCACTCAATGGATAAAAAGTAAACTCAGCTCATTATCTATTGTTTGAACACAGTCGCCCAGAATGTGTCCAGTTTTTATATAGTGCTCAGTGGGATTCAATGCGATAAAAATTCGACGTCGAACTTCAATATATGGCTAGTGTAGATAGCGAAATACAGCATCAACAAGCAGCAAAAGTTCACTCATAGCTCACTACCTAAACGATACAATAAGATTCGACGTTTCGAGCAGGCCCTTCGTCAGGAATTGGGTCGGCACTATATCATAGACAAGATACGTACAAATCCGAAACTGCTATGCATACAAGTCAGCGGTATTCCATTTTTAAAATTCAAATAAATTAGTGCGCGAAATTGGAAAAAACGCGCGAAACCAAAGCAATATGGCTTCCATCGAAGAGTGACCGAGTGCTTGTTTGCACTTCACAAGCAGAAATGCTTGACAAGTAGTGGTTGGAGATGTATCAAATCAAATGCACTTTTTGGTAAGTGAACTAATTTCAATATGTAAATTTGTCATATAAATATTCATACGAATACCGTGTGTGCAATATTTTAATATGAAAGATCCAAATTATGCATACATAAAACCTTTATCGATTTACTGCAGTACTACACTCGTATAACAGGAGGTAGCTCATATAATAAAATAGTATGTGCTTTAGAATTATATAGTAAATCTTAATACTGGATAAAAACCTTTCATAGGGGGCTACTCAATAATAATGGGGGGGCGGGGGGCGGGCGTTGGGTGATAGATACCAAATATTGAACTTTTTTAGAGCTGCCCCAATATCGCAAGACCTTTATTTTGAAGATGCCCCCACCTTCATTTACAAATTTAGGATGCCCCCTCCAACATTTAAATTGTTACTTAGTTGGTGTAAAATAGGTAATGGTACAAGTACTGGTGTAAGACATTGTGTAGCCTAAATAATAAGAGAACCAGTATAATGGCATAATGCTCACTAGGGTAAGTTCAAAAACCAAGGGCCCCCGACAGTTAGGGGCCCCCATCAGCCACAGCCTATCACCCAGAAAATTAGACTGAAAACGTAAAAAATGCAGGTTACGAATCGATGGAAAAATACAAAATTAATAATGCTAAATAATAAACCCTCCATCGACGATGGTATTCCATCTCAAATAGAACAAAAGTTATTCTTAAAAGTTAATTGTTACATGTGTTGGAAACTGTTATTGTCATTGTTATAGACATAGAATTTTCCATTCTACTGATAAATATTCAATATAAAGATAAGATCTTAGTCAAACAATAACAGTCAATAGGGGCCACACCAAGGGGGCCCCTCTTCCTACATTACGCCACTGGCCCCTCTCCCTGCCTCCCATTATTAATAACCGGTGATCCCTAATCATTCATTATATACATTTCATACAATTTCATATTATTTAATTAATATATACATGTACATCACACTATAAACAGAAAGTCAGAAACAAGTGCTAATACTAAATGGTAGAAATACACAATAATGGAAAAAGGCTTTCAGTCAATTATCTGCCAGTATGATATTTGTATGCCTAGTATATGATGTTAAGATGTATCATCTTAGGCCCTGTTCATATGAGCCAGACTAGGCTGCCTTGCCAGAATAGAAATTGTTATCATATGAGTCAGGATATTGGCAAACCAAGACACTGAAGATAAGCCTGGCTAACTAGGCCAGCTCGAGTCATCTAATGTCCATTTCATGTACTACAGTATATATACATATAATCACTGCATAATCTGCAATAGCACAACATATTTCAACTTTTCATATTTTCATGCACTTAATAATATTAACAACATGTTAAAAACAGTTGACTAGGATGTCCAAGGTTAGGTGGATGCATTCTTTAGAGGCAACAAACCCAATAACTATTAACCCAACAATTTGTAACAAATATTTTATTAATTGACAACAATTATTTTATTATTAAATATTGATTATTTTAACAATTATTTTATTAAAATATTGATTCTCTTCATTGCTGAAATCTAACATTGATCATGTTATGGATGAAACTTGAAGGGGTGTGTGTGTTGTGTGTGTGTGGGGGGTCACCCCCCCCCCCCCCAAAGCTGGATTGGCAGGGCAAATCATCTGGATTGGCAGGGCAATGGAAGGTTTTAAATGGTAGAATGTATTGTTATTAAGTAGCTTCCAGGGCTTGCCAACTTTTTTAGGAGAAATAGTGCCGCCCCCCCAAATTTTTGCCGCAGGGCATCATCGCGTTTCGCAGGGCAATTCTAACAGACACCCTCCAATTGAAATGGGCTAGTTTCACCCCTGCAGGCAAAGAAGCATCCACCTAACCTTTGACACCCTAATCCTAGTCTGTTTTTAATGTTGTTAATATTAACTCATTAACTGGCAATGTACTGGCAATGTAAATGTGCCCAAATGTCTGTCTAATGCCAGATGATTAATTACTCATCAGTGGTAGAGTACTGCCAGTAAATGGGTTAAAATGTTAAATATGAATTAAGTTGAAATCGGTTGTAATAACCAATTGATTCATTAACCTATTAAGTTGCAAGACTCTCCTTGATGAGCAAAATCATGTAGCATTAGAAAGAGTAAAAATTCATTGTGTTATCTGCCGCTGTTGGAAGATCCTTTTCCTTGAACATTTACTAAAGATTTGCTGTGTCATCTGCTGCTGTTGGAAGTTCCTTTTCCTTGAACATTTTACTAA